TAAAATACATGTTAACGACCAAACAGAAGATACTGTGGTACTTTCTTATATAAACTTAATTCTAATATCTTAAAGATTAAATTTATTCATCAAATATTCAATAAACGTTACTGAAACTGATGTGAGTTACTGTGTAGAATATAATTATTCTTAATAAAATTTAATTTCGTGTCCATAGTTTATAGATACAGAATGTTTTAAAATGTTAATAAAATCCATGTGATAACTGTCATGTGTCAATATGAACAAAAGTCCCATGTAAAAGAAATTCGAGAACGAATAATTCTCGGGATTCTTGTACATGTGTACTTTTAACGGTTGTTTACATCAAACATCATTAAAAATAGTTTAATTATACATTTATTTGAAATAAAAAAATTGTAAAATACTCTAAATTGTTTGAGAAGTTAGTCTAAATATTTTTGAAAATGTTCAAAAATATTCTATGCTTACTTCGATTTGGTAGGTCTTGAGGTTCTAGGCTCTGCAGCCCCGGCATTTAAACAAAATGCCTTTTCTTGTATCAGCTAGTTGGACTTCAGCTTCTAGGCTATATCATCCCGTGGAGAAGTTTGATGAAATTGTCATGTAATAGTATTTGTATGCATTTTTTATGATTATAATGCTTTTCGAGTGGTCTTTTTTAACTCAGCTGGCCCATATTCAGGCGTTACAGACGTAGCGAAAACCCGGGAAACTAAACCTGGCCAGCTCTTCTTGTCGAGGCACGAGAACTCTCCTGTGTTCAGGGAACGGGACCTCTTGGCCATTGCTAGGTCTTCAAACGAAATGTTACATCGATGAAACACAACTCCTCCTGCAGAAAATAGTAGCAGAACACGAAGCAGCCGTCACATTAAAACAAATAACTTTTTCACATCAATATTATAAAAACAATAAAACTGACTGCAAGATTGATAAAAATAGTATACACGAAAAATAACATCATTGAACGAACAATTAAAGAATACTATTGTAAGAAGTTTTATAGAGAAAATCCCCCGAGGAGGAAGAAAAAGCAGGGGGCACTAGTAGCTTTTTTATAGAAAAGCAGAAAGATGGCTGCCTAGTCTTTGTACACAGTTAATAATTATAATTAAAATTAGTTCATAGTTTTTTTACCATTGCCTTCGAATTATTTCAAAAAACCTGTACACTCCATGAACAGGAGTCATACAACTATGCAAAAACAAAATATAATGATAATATTAATTTAAATAAAGGCATGATAAACGATGTATGCTGAAATAAGATAGTCCTTGTATAAACTTTTGTTATTCGTTAATCTGTCTACCTGTCATTCTCGGAATAATGGACACCCTATCGACTTGCCCATACGATTCGTGCGTTAGGACGCGATCTTTACCCCTCTTATCTGGTGTCAGATCCTGACATCCGAAGGATCTTGCAATCCCGAAGACAGTTTATCGAAAAGTCATTTAGTAACACAGTGAGCGGTCTTCGACTCGAACACTACAGGGTTTATTCTCGCCGTGTTTTCACAATTCTGTTTATTAACTTAATTAGATAAAGGGAGATTAAAGTTAAGCCAAAAAAAGTTAGGCATAGGTTAGAGAGAGGATTAAAAGTCAGTAGATTTTATTCTTGGATTTCAAATACAGACTGGTAAAGGAAAATGAGGAAATTCCAACTATTTAGACAACATATTTAACATATTTATAAGCACATAATAACTTAGAGATTATTAGAGATGATGAGTTAGAGGTTGACAAATAAAACAGGTAAATGTAGGATGGCAAGAGTTCAGACAATATTATTAGATATTGACAGTGATA